CCTGGATCATTTAATATTCTGCCTAAAGCATCCTTGATTATAGCAACTCGAGGTTTGAATTTGTACTTCAGTTCCTTGAGCTTAAGAAATGCTGAAGGAGTTAGGCCCTTTTGATTTTCCAACTCTAACTCCTCACACATTTCATTGTAATATTTTGCTTTATCATTCTGTGCTGCTTTTTGGAATCTTCTGTTCAGCTCTTTAGTATCTTGAATTCTTCCTTCTGCTTTGGCTTCTCTACCCTCCAGTGCAAATCTTCAGAGTTTCTTCTGATATCCCTTTTGGTCTTTTCTTCCTCTTCTGTCTGTGTAATGACTGTTTGCACTCTTCCTGGATGATACATTTGACATCCTCCCACAACTCAACTGGTCTTCACTCATTAGTGTTCAAGGCCTCAAACCTGTTCCTGAGATGATTCTGAAATTCAGGTGGGATGAAATCAAAGTCATACTTTGGCTCCTGGGGTCAATTTTAGGATGGTTTATCAGTCATTTCTTAAGTTATTGCTTTTTGTTTCCTGTTTTTCTCTATCTTCAAGTCATAAATATACTTTCTGCTTCCTTAGCAAAGCTTTTTATAGTTGGCTTTAATCCATTTTAAATTACTGTGTATATTTTTATATTGTGGGAAACCGAAAACCAGTTTAAACTTCTACGTGTTCCTCCACTATTTATTAAATTCCTTTCTCCAATGAATTTTCTTAATGTTTAGTCACTTTAACAAAGTGACTAAACCAAAAAAAAGGATCAGAGGGAGATTCATAAATACCCTGCATTATGCAGATGACACAACTTTGGTTGCTGAAAGTGAGGAGGACTAGAAGCACTTGTTGCAGAAGATCAAGGAATGAAGCCTTTCATATGGATTGTGTCTCAAGAAAACAAAGACTGATGGAACAACCAGAGTGCCCATCAACAAATGAATGGATAGAGAAGCTGTGGTATATACACACAATGGAATAATATGCAACACTGAAAAACAAGGAACTCATGAAATATACAAAATGTGTGACCTTCGCAGATGTTATGCTGGTGAAGTATCTCGGTCACAAAAGGACAAATGCCACTATTATAAAATAGGACTGACATGGGGATTGGGGGAAACTAAGAAAAGAGGGGATAAGTAATGAACACTTCATTTAAATAGATGAGGGAAAGGACTGTCTTAAAAAAATATTTGATTAGGTATTATTTGCATGACAACAGTCCAGAATAAGAGGTACATAGCAAAGTGGACTGGAGGAGGGGAGGAGGGAGGAAATAGAGAAGAAAATTTGCAACAATGAATGGAAAACCAAGTTTTCTTTAAACTTTAATTAATATATCAATAAAAAAGAAAGATAATAAAAAACAAAGATTCTTACCACTGGACAAATAGGCAGTGTCATGATGGATACTGAGGAGATCGAAACTGTCAACAGCTTCATCTTACTTGGATCCACAATTAACACCCTTGGAACCAGCAGTCAGGAAAGAAGGAGATACATTGCACTGGGAAGATGTACAGTTAGGGACCTCTACATATTACTGAAGAGTAGTGTGTTAGACAAGACTCCGAATACTGCACTAGAGTGCTGAGAAGCCAAAACAAAGGGAAGAAATAAAGAAATTAAGGAGCTGAACAGATTATTTCAAAGGGCAAAGCAGAAAGACAAAGTAAAGTATAACGAAATGTGCAAAGAGCTGGAGTCAGAAAATCAAAAGGGCGGAACACACTCAGCATTTCTTAAGCTGAAGGAACTGAAGAACAAATTCAAGTCTCTAGTTGGAATACTTAAGGATTCTTTGGACAGAATATTAAATGATAGAGGAAGCATTAAAAGAATATGGAAAGAGTATACAGAGTCATTGTACCAAAAGTAATTAGCAGACACAGAAGAATGTAATGAAATAACATATGAACAAGAGCCTGAGGATGTTCAAGATGCTCTGAAGGAATTGGCCCAAAACAAGACCCCAAGAATCAATGACACACCATTTGAAATCTGAATGTGCTCACCAAGTTGTGCCAAGAAATCTGGAGGACAACCACCTGGCTAACTGAATGGAAGAGATCTATATTTGTTCCCATTCCAAAGAAAGGTGGCCCGACAGAGTGCAGAAATTATCAAACAATTTCATTAATATCACATGCAAGCAAAATTCTGCTGAAAATTATTTAAAAATTACTAGAACAGTACATCAACAGAAAACTGCCAGAAGTGCAAGCTGGGTTTAGAAGAGGCCATGGTACTAGGTATATTATAGCTAATGTTAAATAGATCCTGGCTGAAAGCAGGGAGTACCAGAGGAATGTCTGTGTTTCATTGACTATGCAAAGGCATTTGACTATGTGGATCACAACACACTGTGGCTAACTCTTGAGAATGGAAATCCCAGAACACTTGGTTGTGCTTATGAGAAACCTATATGGCCCACGAGGCAGTCATTAGAACGAGTAAGGAAACACTGAATCGTTCAAAATCAGGA